AAATGTACGTCATCATTTCACACCTGCTTAAGGACTCAGAGAGCCGAGCTGCTCATTACAATCTGCCTGTTACTCCCAGTGATAGAACACTGGCACCTTCTCAACAATTCCGCTATAGAAACTAGCATAACGTCACGTGACCGAGCAGTCAGCATCACATGCTCTCGCTGGGAATCTCCCTTCTTCATGACAGGGAAGTCAGGTGGCCAGGGGGGCGTGACCTGTGCTGCAACCTGCGAAGTATCGCAGAGAGAGAAGACCCCGGTCTACTGCCAGTCACAGGAGGTGAGTGTTTGGCAGGTAATGTGATCCTCTTCCTGCACATATCTCCGCTGTGCGATCATTAAGGGGTACCAGGGACTGCTGGGCAGTATAACATCGCTGTGTGATTGGCTCTCTGTTTACTCTGCACTACTTGGCATAGCTACAGGTATGATTTGTAATTCATCTACGTGCATGCATTAGCCCTTAGCTGTGTGTCGGTGCTGACTGTCACTTGTCATGTGGGGCTCCTCCTCTTCTGATGTTCTGTAGGTCACCAGCTTCTCAGTACCTGAATATTGTCCCATATCCTTGTGTGTCCTCTGATTTGTATAGTACACAGTGTACGGTGGCTCTTCCTGTGTACCAGCATTGTGCTCCCATTACATTCTGTACAAGAGAAAGTGCTACTCTGGTTTTCTTTTTATACTATGCCTATGGGACAACAAAACACATAGCTATTTTAGTTTTGGATCAAGTGGGGCAAGGGTTCGACCCTATGTTGGGATTCTGATGCTATGACCCCAGGGGGAGATCTCACCTCACTTCCTGTCTTAGTGATAGGTGTCGGAGAGACAGGAAATGATGGGATACATTAGAACTTTTATTACTGTGTCCCCAGCACAGGACAGCAGGGTGACATTAGACAAATGTTACCTATGGACCAGGTCCAGCTTGGTGGCACCCAAAATACCAGACGAGGTTCAAGAGGGATGCATCTTTCCTCTTGTTCTTCGAAAGTTCCTGTTCAGTCTAATGGCAGTTCTTCCGGCATGTCATCTGGTGGCAGAAGAAGTAGGGGTGAGGCCTTCACAACAAGGTGCCATTGATGTGTTTCTCTAAATACTTCCCTGTGTAACCTGTAGTGGACTGCACTAACACTTTTATTATAGTCTTTCTTCTGATTCCTAATTTACAAATGAAACATTTAGTATGCGTGATTTCCTGGTTCCTGACTATGACAATACCACACCCTTCCATGACCAGCACTGTCTGCTCTACCTTTTTATTACTTTGTATTTAGGTGCAGCACCCTTCCTTATTGCCCAACATCCTGAACAGGAACACTGTGTATACACAATTCTTTTTTTAGTGCAGGAGTCCTATGGTTTTTTATCACATATTCTATATAAAATCGGCGAGCCCGCAGAAACAGGCCCCATTTACACTTGCATTTGGAGTCAGTATCATGAGTATCACGAGACTCGGCGGAGTTTATGGGAACACCTGCTGACGAGATATGCTATACAAAGCAATAAGAGGCTGACAGCGGCAACAGCCATCCGCATGTAATCAGTCATGCGGGGATTAGCTGCAGATAATTGCCCCTGGACACAAACAGTTTGCATCTAAGGGTGATCATTAGCAGGTAATGGCTGCAGGCGCTTTCACCCGACTACCTGTGCTATGATTCAGTGTGCATTCGCCCAGCGCATCTGAGGTAAGACGCCATACACACAGACCTCCGGCATTTAGCACAGAATTGATCTGGAATGTATAAAGAAACTTTTATTTCCCAGATAAAGTTCTCCTGTATTTAAATGTACTTGCATTCACATGCATTTAGCTGCATTAAACCGGCGTAAATGGTTGCAGGAAGTGCATGTTTCTTGTTTGTGTAACCAAACGTCCAGGTGTGCATTCAGCCATAGAAAAGCAGTATATGCTTCCAGATGCATTTAGAAATTAGCTCCAAACTTATATAGACACGTGTATTTAGATGCTGTGTTCATGAGGCCTAAGGGTTCAGTCACATCAATGCGTCCTGGTGCAGTTCGCACCCGGAACACACTGGATCGCATACATAAAGCCGGGCTGTGTTCATGCATGCAGCATTTTTTCAGATCGCTCTGCACTGGAATGGAGGGCATTCCTGTACCACGCTTTCCAGTGCAGCCGATCGCACTGCGGTCATGGGGTGTGTGTCTGCAGTGCCATTGACATGAATGGCACCGAACTGCCCCATAACGCAGCCCGGCTTCATGTATGCGATCCAGTGCCATCTGGGTGCGAAATGCATCGGGACGCACTGGATATGGTGTGACTGAGCCCTAATTGAGGAGGGTGGAAGCAGGTAAGTTTTTGTTGTTCATTTGGGAACCACTGTCATATTGAGCAGAATGCGGCCATTCTGGATGAAGGAGAAACCCACACAACATAGTGGTGGACATGTTGGTGCGTTCTGAAGTGGCAGATCCTTTTGTAGTTCGCAAGTTATACTTTTGAGCTCCATGAAGGCATGGGAATAAAACTGTAGCCCCAAAGAACCATGAAGTGCTGGAAATTGTATTTATAATGATTTCCAGGGACCTGATGCAAATGTAAATGAAAACACCTTACAAAATATAATACCATTAGGTTGCACTACAGAATATATATAGATCTATATATCTATATAGATCTATATAGATCTATAGATCTATATAGACATATAGATCTATAGATCTATATAGATATAGAGAGAGGAATTAACAAAACTGGAGCAGACATAATCTGCAGCAGTTGCCCATAGTAACAAATCAGCTTCTCTCTTCAGTTTGTTCAGTTAACCTTGAAAATAAAAGGGAGAAGCCGATAGGTTGCCATGGGCAACTGCTCTAGATTTTGTATGCTCCAGTTTTGATAAATCCTCCTCGTTTTGTTTTTTAGTCTGAAGGTTTAGATACACGTAAAGCATGGCTGCTGCTCTCTTTCACTTTCATTTCTTGCAGTGCTTTCTTTCGGCCTCCTCCCATGTTTACCAGTGAGATGTTTCAGCAGTGACATCATGTCCAAGGCCACACACACAAATGAATGTTTCTCGTTTTGTGTAGATTCCTGCAGATACGGACACATTTGTGTTCGATGTACACGTCACATTTGTTAGCCCATACACTTGTCAGTCTTGTTTTCTGTATTATTTTGGGCATGGTTATAAGCAAGGTGAACTGCTGTTCCCCAGTGACTAGACATGCTCTGCAGGTCACATTATTATTATTATACAGGATTTATATAGCACCAGCAGTTTGTGCAGCGCTTTACAATATAAGGAAGACATTACAATCACAATACAAAAATCAAGACAAGATGAAGAAGAAATGCACACTTGTATCCAAAAGTGCAAAGGCCTCATTCACACCCAAACGTTTTGTTGTGCTTCTCAAAGCACGCCAACGTTCAGTGTTAAGAATCTAATTAGTTTCGAAATCACCTGAAACCGGTCACGCTCAATTATGAATGTTATGGTTTCCTGGCTTAGGTCTGTTGTCTAAGGGCCCATTCACACCGTTGCGGAACGGTTTTAACACTGTACCGTGCAGTTAACTCACACCTTTGCACAAGGCACTTATAGTGCGGTAGGCACGTTGTGTTGCCATTAGTTTGAATGGCATCCCAACACACCTCTTGGCCGCAATGCGCTCTACTACGTAACAACGCGCGGTAATGAAATACCATGTGTTGCGGTGAAAAAAAGTTATGCATACACTACTTTTTTCTTGTTTCTGCCGCACTATAACGCACGATAGGTACACTGCGCAATAGCGTGTGTTAATCACACGGTACCATGCAAAAAATGCATTGCATCGGTGTGAGCGGGCCCTATAGCTAGTGGTTAGAGATGGCAGCCATCACCTACCGTATGTGGGTCTGGCAGCTGACATATGAAGCTCTTCTCTCATTGGTCACATTTCTTGCATGAACTGCCTCCTTTCCTGGTGGTGATTCCTTTTCCATACATGTAACTTTTTCTTTGGATATTGAATATTATGGAGAAATTAACCAGATATGATTTTCTATAGATTGTAAGCCCCCAGGGGCAGGGCCCTCCTCCTTCCCATCTTGTCTTGATTTGTATTGTGATTGTAATGTCTTCCTTATATTGTAAAGCGCTGCACAAACTGCTGGCGCTATATAAATCCTGTATAATAATATAGGCACTGTATAATCAGCAGTGATATTGTTAGATACTATTATTATTATTATAGAGGATTTCTATAGACCCAACAGTTTGCGCAGCGCTTTACAATATAAGGAAGAAATTACATTAAAATTCAAGACAAGATGGTAAGGAGGGCCCTGTCCGTGAGGGCTTACAATGCATGTCTTTGTGTATTTAAATAGCACTGGAGATAATGTACATTTCATGCCTATTGTACATGACGCCACATGGATGGACGGTATATCCCTCCCTTGTTTAGGTGGTGGTCCTGTTAAGGTCACCTTGTATTCAGAGCCTCCTTCCCTGACTACAGCCAGTTCTGGTAATGAAAGGGTTAAACCACCAGCCAGAGGGTGTGTTTAAAAAGGAAGCCAGTCAGTCTGTCTGTGAGGAGTGATTGGAACAGGACACATGGCTATGTGTGTTAAGCTGTGGATACAGTCTGCCGAGACACTGCTGGGGTACCACGTCCATACTGGAACCCTCTGTGAGCAGGCTGGGACTCTAACCCTGAGGTGGGACTTGGTATACAGGCGCTGAGCTGAATCTTGTATTTGCTGAATATAAGCCATTTACTTTGACTGTGGAAAAGAATAAAAGTTTATTTTCTGATACGGCTGGCTACCGGTCATATCCGTTCTGAATATTACACTATATATAATCAATCAGTTTTAAAGACTGTGCCAGAATGTTGAAATAGCATTACCTTGTTGTGTGTGTGTGTGTGTGTGTGTGTGTGTGTGAGATTTCAGTTAAAATGGCGATTGTGCCTGCGTAGAAAAAAAAACGTTTAAATTGTCAATTTTTTTTCTGTCACTGCAGAAATGGCCACCCAGGCTCAAGGGTGCGAATTGGTGAACGGGCACCTAGATGTCTCTCAATATAATCTGTTATATAATAGAAATGAGACAGAGATGCTGGAACAGATTAGGCAATTACTTGGAGAAAACAACAAGCTCAAAGGTAACGAGTTATTTGTACTCCTTCTGTCTGACTCACTGATATCTATTCTACTAGTATCATACTAACCCTTTTACCTCTGGGGATGCATGTAAAGGTTGATGAAAGTAAAGGTGGCCATACACTCTACAACCATCGCAAGACTTTAGTCTTGCGATGGTTGTACAGGGATTAAAAAAACGTACGATCTGCCTATCTTGGACAGGCAGATCGCACTCTCGATCATCGCAAGCCCGCCCCCCTGAGGGGCGGGCTTCCGATGACCGCAATGCTGAACGGGCAGTGTGCGCGTGCGCACACCGGCCCGTTCGGCATTTGTCTTCCGAGCACCGTTCTAACCAGCCGAGAATCGTACGATTCCCGGCTGGTTTTCGAACATGCTGGTTCGACAGAAGACGTGCGACCGTACAGTAGAAACGGTCGCACGTCTCCGTTCACACTGCTCGATTATCGTACGAAAAACCGATCGCATACGATTATCGTACGATAATCATGCAGTGTATGGGCACCTTAAGAATTACACATTTTTATGCTTCATTGAATCAAAGGGGTGTATTTATAAACCATTTGCAGAGCCGTTCGCCCTGCAAAATTGCATGTACATTTGTTCTATGCAGATGGAGGCAAAATTAATGTTAGTATATTTTCTTTCCTGTCAATGTAATATTAAATAAATACTGCACTAGATGGAGCATAGAAAATAAGTATTTATTTCCTATGCTCCTCAGTTCCATCTATGGGGCCATAGTGTGGTGTTTACCTTGTATTACATTCAACCTGGGAAGAAAAATTGCTAATAACATTTGGCTTGCCTGCATTTGCATTTAAAGAATGTACCTGTCATTTTGCAGGGTGTATTAATACACCCCAAAGTGCCTAGCATATTCTGAAGCTAGTGTAATATAACTTTAAGAATTTCCGATTTTTTTTTTTTTTTTTTTATGTGCTCTCATTTATCTCATTCTGGTTATCTATATTTCAAAGTCAATAACTGCACCTTTATTTAGAAGAAGCCAAAAGGTTACTGGTTTGTTTTTTTTTAAAACTTCAACTTCATCCATTTAAGAGTACCTCCAGACAAAAGGTTTCTCTTGTTTTGGTCCAGCTATTGATAACAAGGAACCGTTTTTAAGTTTTCGGGAAAGGATTTGAACCCATATTAGGTGTTTATTGCTGCCTGGATCTCCTCTGGGGAGAGACCAGCTTACTTCTTGTCCTGGTGACCACCATCACGGAGACAGGACGGGAGGGAAGTTCTCCCCCAATGGGTAAAAGACAGCAATGAAAACCGAACCAAGATTCAAATGTAGCCACCCTCCAGAAGGAAGGACAGTGTCGGTACCAATTCAGAGATGATTTGAGGATCTACAGCTGAGTGACACACACATAAGATACATTTTTGTTAATAGTTGAGGTACTTGAATGCATTTTTAGGCCCGAGGCAGACCTCGCGATTTCAGGATTGCGTGGTCCTGTACAATGCAGGCAGCGATTGCCGCGCGGCCTCATTGATTTTAATGGGGTGACATCCGCGCGACAATCGCAGAAAAAGGTACATGTTTTAGCCGCGGGAAACAGCGCAATCCGCCTGGCGCAACTGGGGTGCCATTAGAAAATAATGGCACCCACAGCGTGATCGGTTCACACTTTGGCGACTCCTGACCGGGCTGTGAGGTGTCGCCTAGGTGTGCACCGGCCCTTAAGGTTTTACTCCTAAAGTTTAGTGTCACTTTAACCCCTTCGTGACTGACGAATTACAGTGTACGTCGCCAGCATCGGGGCTGTTTAAACAGACTCCCGGTGGCTATTGCCGCCTGGACTCTGTTTAAACTTGTAAAGCCGACTGTCTGCTTTACAACAGAAGCGATTCTGGCGACTTACATGTCGCCAGATCGCTTCTGTGTTCCGTAGAAGGGGCCGCCCCTTTCAGCTTCTCTCTTTAATTTTCAAATCTTAACTGAACAAACTGAAGAGAGAAGCTGATTGGTTGCCATGCACAGTTGCTCCAGCTTTTGTCTGCTCCAGTTTTGATAAAATTCCCCCCACTGTGAGTTCCTGCTGTCTATTGCAAGATGACAGAAATGAATAAATGTGTATCTTCTGTGTAGAAGCCATGAAGCAGAAAAGTCAGGAAATGAAGGAGCGCCTTGAAGAGCTTTTAAAAAGAGGGGAACAAGGACGGGGTGAGCTTCCAGAATTTAGACAGCGTGCACTTGAACTGAGTAAGGAGAATGAATTGCTGAAGAAAGAAATTCAGCATTTAAAGGAGAAACATCTGCACACACAGGTACCTGTCATTGGCATTGGTATTGATATTAAAACTGTCAGTGGGCTCCTGAGCCCAACACTAAGATGTACCTAAACGCCTTCAATGCCATTCATTCCAAAACAATCTATGTTGAATCTTCTCCATGATGTATATTCTCAGAATGCAGAATCTTTAAACCAGCTATTCTAATTTTATCTGAACCATCTTTAAGACATTTAATGTCTGCACATACCCACGTTAGTGTCTTTTAGTCATCAATATATTCTGCCCCTTAGAGTGAAGAGGAGAGCCTGAAACATCAGAAGGCACAGATTGTACGTCTTCAGACAGAGAAGGCTGATCTGGTTGGAATCATTTCTGAGCTACAAGTGAAACTAAGCAGCTATGGCTCCGAAGACTCATTTGTTGAGATCAGGTTTGCAGTAAGTTGATTTTTTTTTAATTTTAAAAGGGGTTTCATTTGAAAGTAAGGAACTTATTCCTTCTCTATAATAACACATCCAGTGATCTTGATTTCAGGGCCTGTTCCCTCCAGATGCATGAACGGGCCCTCACGCATCTGGGACTTGCAGTCTTCCATTTACAGATCCCTGTGAATAGATCTGTAAATGGATAATGCAGCTGAATTCCTAAATGCACAGGACGCTTCAGGGAGAAGGACACCGCAATTCATGTAGGCTGGGTGG